AACTGAATGGTACCGCGGCGAGCAGCAGCGTGGAGATGGTGGTCTTTTTTTTTTTTTTTTTTTTTTAGCTGCTCAGTGTTGACCTGGAGGATGTCTTCAGCCAGTCTGTGTGAGGTCCACGTGGGCTTCTCCAGCACAAAGTGAGCATGTGTTTGAACTGGGTAAACTGTGTGGGCCGAATATGGCTCCCATTTTTTCCCTTGACCCACTAATGGGGGGACGAACATGTGTGGGTCCCGCTTTACAATCTGCACTGGAAAAAGGTCGATTTAAATAATAATAAAAAATAAATAAAATAAAAAGAGTGAAATCCGTGTCTCACATGTTCGTTTTGATTTAAACAAAAAAAAAAAACAAACAAACATGAAACTGACTTTGTTACTGGACACTGAATATTGAACAGTCGCAGCGACAGGAGGAAAAAAAAAACCCAGTTCCTGTCTGTGTTTTCATTGTTTTCACAACAGAATTAACCTGCACCGGATTTATCCTCCTATCCTATTGCGCCACTCAGTGGTCTCTCTCCCTCTCTCTCTCCCTGTGCCCCCCCCCCCTTCTCTCTGTGTCTTGTAGCTTTAATTAGCTGCAGCCCATTCTGTCAAGTCTGATTTGTTGTGAAGAGCAGTGTGTGATAACATGCTCTCGAGATTCATCAAAGTGTCATAAACTTAAACTCCAAGATCCGAGATCCTTAAAGAAGACCCCGCAGGACCGTTAATTTAACATCAAGGATTTTGAAATAAATGGACACTGACCATCTAATAACACAAAGCCCTAACTTTCTTTCTGCTGCGTATGCCTGTGTCAGCTTAAATGCTCCGTACCATTTAGTATCACTGAGGCATTTTATCTCGGCTTCTTTCCAGAACACTAAAGCAACAGCGAGGAAAAAAAAAATGCATATGTAAGATTTTAAACATTTAACTAATAGGACTGAGATGTTTAGGCCCAGGCTGCTCTCCGTGGAGGTACGGTGTGTGGACAGTTACGTTGATTAGTCACTGCAGTGGTCCCACAGATTTGTTAGTAACTGGTTTGGCTAATGTTATGTTGTAAACCAGTGATCAACAACCTGCGGCCTGTGGGGCCGAACATGGTCCGCCGAACTCCTTCGATCCGGCCGGTGACTGGATTCCAAAATTTTGAGTTTCCACTATTAAAGGAGCCGAAAACAAAACAACAACTGAGACTTAAATCACTATCAGTAACACCCGCCATGTATGACTGTATGTGTGTATGTTTGTATTGACATTCCATTAGACAAAGATTAGGTTTTTGTCAGACCCCCCCAAGGTGTCTGTCCAGAAAAAAAAACCTTCTTAAAAAGACATTTCGAATCTAAACAAAATGTTTTTCCTGCGCAAATAAAATCAACTGAAACAATACAAATCAAAAGACATGACCTTTAGTGTCACCCTGGCCGTCAGACTGAAGGTCATTGAGTCCTCTCGCTCACACAGTCTGTCTATGAAACGCTCACTTATTCTGGTTGCAGAACTGTTTTTGTTCAGGTCACTCAGCACCGAGCAAAATTGCAAAGTGAGTCTAAATGTTTCCTCTAATTAAAATGTGTGTTAGGCAGCAGACTGCGCATACGTTAGGGACGGGAGCGAGCGGGAGGAGGAGAAGAAGAAAAAGGGAGACGAAAAGAAGGGGAGCTAATTCAGTGATTAATCTGTGTATGTTTTAGCGCACGCAGCTCTGATTTATCACCAACACTTTAGTCAAGGTCCTGGAATTAGTGAGTCACTCTAAGAGATGGAACTCCCCATTCCCCTGCCCCCCCCCACTCCCTCCACACACACACACACACAGAAACACACACCACCTCTCTTCTCGACCTCCAAACAGAGATAGAGACAAACCGAGTACGAATGCGTTCACTCACGTGGTCTACTCACCAATGCATAATGTGCACATTTGTATCCCTTCCTCTGTGTGGGTGTGTGTGTGTGTCTGACGCAGTCATGACTGCCAGCACCAGTGTTGAAGAGACCCTAATAGAAACGCTTTTACCTCTGGGACAAAAGTTTCTTCAAGGTGCACATCCACTTTCCAGAAGATGAGCAAAATATTAGCTGAATGACAGAGCCAAGTCGACAGAGGCTATTATAAAGAAGAAAGGTGGGGAGTGGAGGAGGAGGAGGAGGAGGAGGAGGTGGGCGTTCTCCGGAGGACATTATGAGAATCGGTACGTTGGCTGATGATGAAAAAGCTGCAGAGTCTGGCCGGGGGGAATTTGCTGAGATATAGGTGCGATACAGTGGGGCTCAGGGAGGACAGTGCCGTGGCTGAGGCGGCGAGATAATATTAAGTACCTCTGTACAACCTTAACTCTAACTCTCCCTCTCTCCCTCTCTCTCTCCCTCCACAGCTCCCCGCTCACTTTTAATATCGGCGCTGTGGCGAATCTAATCTGGATCTCCTTTAAGGCAATAAAACCCAGATAGCTTCCTTCAAATGGGAAGCACCGCCTATTATGGCTTTGAAATCCTCGTTTATTTGGCGATGTGCGTGATGGAAAAATGATTCATGTCGAGGTTCAAACGGGGCAGGATGATGACGAAGATCCACGGAGTCCCCGAGTGCGCATTTCCTCGAGTATTGTATTCCAAGGTGTATAATATCGTTATCCACGCAGGTTGAACTGCGCCGCGCGCCAAGAAGCTCGGCCTAAAGTCGCGCCGCTTTATTCCTCCGAGCAGCCGAAAGCAATTTCCGATCAATTTGACCCT